GTTAATCCATGTCTTTCTCCTCATCTCTTGGAATGTTACTAGGAAATCAATTAAATATCTTACCATAAATTTTCAGATATGTGAGACAAAGAAGTCATAGTCAATCTGGAATCAAATAATTGGAAAGACTCGTGGGTATGAATTTCAAATTTGGGCCATTCCATTTCAACAAGGTGAAAGACTTTGGATGGACGTGCTTCAGAAATCCCGCACTTTTTGACCACTATTGGTATCTCCCTAGGTGCTGGGAAATTTTTTTCTTTGTCCAAGGAGAAATATTTTAGAAAATGTTGAGATTATCAAGTTGGTAAATAAGGGTGGATTTTTTTATTATAGAAATTTTAGGATTACATTTATAATTCAACTAAAAAAATTACTAACCACAAAAGGTCATTACAATAACGGAGCGATCTAACATAAATTAAGACAATCTAGTGTGCCTCCACTAATAGTCACGCAAGATCGAAAAAACTTTGACATACGCATCTCAACTAAGATTGCAAACTCATATACACAAATTAAGTGTAACATATAAAATTTCTCTTTAGTATTAGTAGACGTATTCATGGAACTAACAGATATCAGTTAATTTTTTATGAAAGAAAGAATTCCAAACATAAATTAATAATTTGATTATAAATACACCATACACATAAAAGTTTCAACACTTCTGCTAACTTCATTAAGTTTGTTTATCAAATAACATCTCATTATACACAAGGGGATTATAGCTTAAGTGATGAAGAGCAGTTATACATATATTAGTATTTTTATATTTTAGAAATGAATGAAAAATAACAACAAAAAACCAAATTTAACAAATATTATTTGGTCAATAAAGTTTTATCACAAATTTGGTGGGTTTAGCACTACTTAATTTTCAAAGTCAAAATCTATTATGCGCTTAAGCTCCCAATTGTTTACTTTTTAAGTTGAGCCGTGTTAGACCTTTAAAATCCCAAAACTATAAAAAGAATATATGCATAAAATAATAAAATCGTTCATCTTTTGTTTTTCTTTTCCTATGAGTGTTGTCATGTAAAAGAATTGTAAATTTTTTGGTAATATAGGGGGCAAAGAGCAGTTATACCAAAGAGAAAGAAATGTAACTTCAATGGTTAAGAATAGTTAATTCTGCACAGTCCCTTTCTTCTATATGAATTGTATAAATAATAATAAAAGCTTTGCGTTAAGATTTTTCTCAACTGCAGATATGGACTTAGTCAAGTTGGTTAGAATAGATGTACTCCCCACTCCGCATCTAAGTTTGAATCCTATAGTTTAGTAAAATATCATTTGTATCAAAGAAAAACTAAAATCTCAACCACCTTTTCCCATTCTTTTTGAACTTTGAAGGGACTTCATGAGTTTCTTTCCATTCCTGCTTGCCTCTTCCTTTAGCTTTTCCCCAACACCTCTCTCTTTCTCTCTCTGTCCCGTGTTCCCTTGTGGGTAGTGACAGTCACGAAAATTCAAAATAATGACATCTACATCTCCAGTATCTTAAACCCCACAGCTCCACACGGACCACACCCACCAGAAAAAGCTTCTACACATTCACACTCTAATCATCACAACCACAACTTTGAACCCTATATGCTGCCATGGCATGCACTATCTCCCCCACCCATGCTTGAGTTTATAATTAGTTTAAACATGAATCTTCAAAATTAATCATAAAAATATACAACTAATTAAAACTAAATTCAAAATTAATCAAGAAAGAGAATAATCTTGATATTGGAGCCCCCATTCCGTCTATGGCCAACTATAAACTTGCATTGCATGCTAATGTAATATTATTTCAAATTAAAGCAAACCCAAAAAAAGGCTAAAACAAAATGATAGTGAAATAAAGCAAATTTGCAGGCATGCGAGAACGCCTATGATTGTTCTACCAAAGTCAAAGTTCTCATCAGAAAAGCTACAAGCGTTACATGGGAAATCAGTATAGCTTTCTTGATGAGAAGAAAGCTTTTTCTACAATCTAAATCCCCACCATGATCCATCAACTTTAAACATCTACAGGAAGAGGAGGAGGAGAATTTGCATGCGACAGCTGCCTTAGCCATTCATACGTTCTGTGATGTGACATGGCCTGCTTTTGCTTTTGCTTTTGCTTCTGCTTCTGCTTCTGCTTATTATTCTTCATCATCTTCAACTCCACCTCTACTTTTTCTTTCAGCATGGCCTGCGCAGCCGAGTATTCTGTTTCTGTTCTGTTTTCATTGATGTGACTCGAGCTGCTTCTCCCACTGCTTGATGATTTGCTCTTGACGATCAGGTTATCAGACGCCACAGTTTCGAACGAGCACTTGCAGCCATGAATGCTACCAAAAAACCTCTGTTTTCTCTGCTTGCTCTGTTTGCTCTGTTTCGTGTCCTCCGACTTCAAAACACCGCTGGCGCTCGTGGCGTTGTTGTAATTTGCGATGAAATTAGTGCTGTGGGTGCTGCTAACACTGCTATTTCGACTGACGGAACTTTTATTGGCGCTGCTATTACTTCGAAGTGCCTTGTTAATGTCCTGCAATTCAATGTCAGGCGTACGGACCAAACCCAGCCTGAAAAAATCCCACATCGAAGAATTATGGCGCCGGCTGCCAGCTTTTTCCAGTTTTGGATTTGGAATTTTGATTTGGGCTTTTGGACTTGGCTCTGTGTAGAATTGGTTTCGGGGTCTTATTGGGCTTCTCCGCTTTGAGCTTGAAGCAATGCCTCTTGTTGCTGTTGTGGTAGCGGTGGTGGTGGTGGAGCTGCTGTTGCTGCTAAATGATGAATTGGGACTGATTCTGCTTCTGCAGCTATTGCTTCTGAACCCGACGCTGCTCGCCGGAGACCGTCTGGTTAATCCGCCGAAGCCGGCGTCGGAGCTGACTGAGAGGCGGAGAGGGAGAATTTGGCCTTGGAAGAACACCTCATCGGCAGCACACATTTTGGTGTCAGCCCAAAAAGAGGTGCCGCGCATTGAAGAACCAAAATCAAATTCTTCATCTTGGGCTTCAATGTTGACATGGGTAGGCTCAGATTTAGTGCTTGGATATTGGGTTTGATCTTGTTTCTTCAAGTTCACTGGAAGATCACTTAGTGACACATTATCTTCTTCTTCCTCCTCTAGTTGCTCAGAGACTGAATCTTGATCCAGTACTCTGTCTTCAGCAGCAGCAGAAATGTTAGTAATTGCTGCAATTGTTGCCATTTCTACAAGCACTGTGATTGTGATAAGAAATTACTAAGCATAAGATAGTGAGAATTTGAGAGGATTATGAGTAGAGGAGAGAGGCTTAGAGGGAGGGAGGAGGTGAGACATGTGGAATATAAAGAGAAGGGGTTTGGACCAAAAAATTTTAAAACAAAAGTAAGAAAAAAGGGGTAGGGAAATAAAGGAGGTGGAGTGCCGAAAAAGCACTAAAAAATTATTGAATTGAAGGAAGAAAAGGAGGCAGGCGACCCAATTGAATAGTGTGTCTTTTTTTTCTTGTTTGGGAGTGAAGAAAGGAACTGTGAACTTTGTGGCTTCTGGGGCCGGCTATTAGCTGAGGGCCAGTTTGTCTCTAGTTTCTGTGTCTATACTCTTTCATTTTATTTATTTATTTATTTATTAAATAAATTGATGGATCTTGCATGCCCAACTCCAATTGGGGATGGTACAATAAACGTTTATGAATGATGAAAAACATTGGCATCGGCAGTTGAGATATTTTTGTTTTGTTTATATACTTGGTGGGTGAAATTTGTACTTCAACGATGCGCAAGTAGCTTTGCCTAATAAATAAATAAACAAAATGAAAGAGTATAGACACAGAAACCAGAGACAAACTAGAGTAATATAATGGATTTCCCATACATACATAGATCCGCTCTTGGCTATGAGTGTATTAAGGAGTTCGTAGTTCATGTTGTTAAGAACAGTTATCTTTGCACTCGGCTATGAGTGTATTAAAGAGTTCATAGTTCATGTTGTTATAAGAACAATTATCTTTGCACTCGAGGTTATTCGAATCCCTCTTCTTTCAATATCGCTTGTATATTTTATTTGGGAATAACTCAATTGATTGAGCTCTTCCAAAGTTGTTTGAATCCCTCAGTTCATGTTGTTAAGAATAGTTATCTTTTCAATTCATGTTGTTAAGAACAATTATCTTTGCCTCAGTTCATGTTGTTAAGAATAGTTATCTTTTCAATTCATGTTGTTAAGAACAATTATCTTTGCACCCGAAATTGTACGAATCCCTCTTCTTTCAATATCGCTTGTATATTCTATTTGGGAATAACTCAGTTGGTTGAGAATCCCTCTTCTTTCAATATCGCTTGTATATTCTATTTGGGAATAACTCAGTTGGTTGAGAATCCCTCTTCTTTCAATATTGCTTGTATGCTAGCTATTTGAGAATAACTCAGTTAGTTGAGCTTTTCCACGTAGAGACTCGAAATCCTAAGCTCTCAATGAATATTTGTGTAAACCTCCCTCCCTTGTATCCAAAAAAAATATTTAAAAAAATAAAAAAAAGTTGTGTATGATAATTGTGAATGAAACTTTATGGGGCAGATCAAAGAATCCAAGATTGTAACTGTTTTCTTTACCCGAAAAGAAAAAAAAAACAACAACACACTTTCTTATCAATCAATAGAAAAAACCGTGGCCTTGATTTGAGGAGCTTCCTAGCTTGACTTGGATGCCCTCGTCGAAGATCTCTTTGTGGATATTCAAGTCAACTATCAAAAGATTGAAAGAAAATTTGTGGGATATCCAAAAAATAAAATAAAATGTTACATTAAACGTCCCTCTCATTTAGCAGTTACCGTTTAATGTTTCAATGTTTCAATGTTTCAGGAGGTGAAGAGATATGGCAAACATCTCCTCTCCCTTTTGTCTGCTATGTATGTAGCTATACCAATATGATATACGAGTTAATGAAATACGCATTCGAAAACAAGAACGCTTTGCTTACTTGAATCATATCTGAAATCCAAAACAAAAACAAAAAGTCAAAGTCACCGAAAACATTTGTATTAGATCTGGACACAATTAAAACATACATGCATTACCAAATTCAAACTTTATATGAAGAAAAATAAAAATAAAACTAATTAAGGAACTCCTTGGCGGTTAATAGCTTCGGTGGCGGAGATATCACCCTGAGAGGAGACATTGGCGCCAGAGACAGTGGGGCCCTCGGTGGACCCGGCGCCGCGGCCGGGCTCCACCTGGAGATGGCCTTCCGTTCCATAGGCCTGGCGCTTGTAATCCTCCAAGTCATCGTACTGCAGGTACGGACTGTCCTTCATTGGCAGACCTTCCTCTATCTTCCCCTTGGCTTCGCTAGCCCCAGCTGCTGGCTTCCTGTTCTGCTGCTGCTGCTGCTGCTCTTGCTTCGTCTCCATTACGAATATCGATTTATCTCGTTTATGTGATTTTGGATTGATTTGCTTCGGTTTCTCTTTGCATGTGTCCTTTTATCATGTTTTCTCTCTTGCTCTGCAAGTTTGCCACGTGTAGAGTGTCGGAAACGTGTCTCATCGCTAGGAGTTGCCGGGTTTACGTGGCTAGGTAGATGCTATAAATGTGACATGCTCGATCCATGACAACGAAATAGGATAAGCTAAAAAAAGGACGACGAAATAGGATCTCCGTCCCGGATGATATATGGCGTGGATCAATCTTGTGTGCGCGGATTAAAAAAAAAGGGTATATCATTAAATTATGTGTCTTAACGACTTAGTGTTAATTAAATTGACTCAGATTTTTGGTGTACTCTCAAGCAGTATCGGGTTCCAAGCTGAAATAGTTTCCCCTAAAGATATACTATTGATTCATACGTGAGTTATATACCATGGGTCTGATGCCTCCAAATTCAATAGTTACAACATTATTTTGTCAAAAAAAGAAAAAAGGAAAAAAACCTATTGATATTCTATTTTGTTGGTGTTTGGAAGGTTTTATTTGTTTAGACCTATATGCATGGGCCGGTTTCACACATAATGTCACATAGACCGAACCCAACTGTATTTTGTGGATATACGGTCATTGGGCCTCTTTATCCATGCAAACCACTCACGTCCAAATTCACAATCCTCAATTCTGAGCAGTCTCGAGGTGAGGAGCCATGCATATACATATTAGTACCAAACAACAACTGTACAGAAAATTCCATTTGGTTTCCCAAATTGTCTTTCATTCTCAAATTCTTACCTCCATTGTCAGCTTGAAATTAACATAATCACCACCGCATAATCTTACAACATTTCTTGATTCCTTAACACTCTTTGACTTAAGAAATCAACCCATTATAATTTAATTTGCCTCTTCCTCTATAATTTAATTTGTTCCCTAATTCCAGCTTATTGCTACTGGGCTTCCTACGATGTGCTTCCCGTCCGACCACTCCACCCTCCCGAAGCTATTCACTGCACTCGCCGGCACCGAACCCACCGCACTAAACGTCACCGTATACACTTTCTTCTCATTCGCCTGACTAAAACTCAGCGTTTCGGGCTCTACCGATATCTTCACCAACTGCCTCTCCGACGTCACACTGGCCTTGTACGTTCCCGGCGGCCCCACATTCGTCAGCGTCCTCGTGAACTTCACCACGTTAGACGACGTCGTCCCGCCTCCATATCTGCTCTCGAAGTTCACGGCAAACGAAGGGTAATTCAGATCCCTCACGCTGTACTTCTTTTTCTCGTCGCACGTGTACGATCTCTTCGCCAAACTGTTAATCTCGGACGCCGAGTAATTCAACGCGCAGAGGAAGCTTAGATAATCGTCCACCGTTAGATCATAGACCAGCCCTGGATTGAGGGCCGATATAGGGTCTACGTGCCCAGCGCCGTGATCGAACGGCGTGGACGGCTTTCCGGTCGCCACGTCCTGCAACTTCTGCCCGTTCTTGTACGCTGTATACGCGGTAGTCATAAGCGCCGATCGAATCACCGCCGGGCTCCACTCCGGGTGGGCCCCCTTCAGCAGCGCCGCTAACCCGCTCACGTGCGGACAAGACATTGACGTCCCCGAGATAATATTGAACGCCACGCGTCTCGCATCGATCGCCAGTCCCGTGGGGCCTATAGCCCCGGACCACCCAGCTAGGATGTTGACACCTGGAGCAACAATATCGGGTTTCAGTATATTCGGAGTGACTGAATTCGGGCCCCGAGAACTAAATGCCGCAACCACGGGTGAAGGCTGGACCCCTACTTTTGTCCCCTCGAACAGTATCGTGGCGGCCACCAGCTCCTCGCCGTTGGCGGCGGTGTTGGCTAATATCATGCCCACTCCTCCGGCCGCCTTGACCACCGCTCCTTTTTGGACTCTTGCGTTGACTCCACGGTCGCACATCACTATTTTCCCCTTCACTTGTTCTGGAATTAAAGTTCCCATCATGCATAGATTTCCTGAAGTTGCGTTGCTCGCGTTACCGGCGTAAACAAACGGCGTCAAGGTGGTTAGAGCTGCGTTGGAGTTACCGCGGTAGAGCGAAACGCCCGAGAAGTTTTTTCCGTTGCCCAGGCTGACGAAAGCCGGGAAGTCCCGATCCAGTGTGCCTGCTCCAACTGTCGTGATCCATGGAGCCGAGTTCGACAAGCTGTAGGCACTGGGACCAGCATTTCCGGCAGAGCACGAGATTAAAATTCCCTTCTCCATGGCCGAGAAAGCTCCGATTGCCACGCTGTCGCGGAAATAGTCCGACATTCCGCCGCCGAGCGACATCGAGAGAACATTCACGTTGTCCGCAATGGCCTGGTCGATTGCCGCCACGATGTCGGAGCTGAAACAGCCGCCGACCCAGCACACCTTGTACGCGGCGATTCGGGCGCGAGGGGCCATCCCGCGTGCGGTTCCTAGGGCATAGCCGAAGAGGCTCGCGCCGGAGACCACCGACCCTGCGGCGGTTGACGCGGTGTGGGTGCCGTGGCCATCGTCGTCGCGTGGGGATTTCGATTCCTTGGAGGTCTCGATCGGGCCCAGCGTGGCCTCGTAGCCTTTGGCGAAGTACCTGGCGCCGATTAGTTTCCGATTGCAGTTTGAAGAATTGAAGTTGGTACCCGATTCACACGCGCCTTTCCAAGATCCGGGTACGGGTCCGAGTCCGGTGTCTTCGAAGCTCTTGCTTTCGGGCCAGACGCCGGTGTCTAACACTCCGATGATGACGTCGCTCTCCGAGTTGGACTGGGGGATCGTCTCGGTGGTTTGGCCAAGTCCGAGGAATTCCGGGGTCCGAGTGGTGTGGAGCTCGTATTTCAACTCGGGAAGCACGGAGAGCACTCCAGGTTGGGATTGGAGTGACTCAGCTTGTTCGGGGGTGAGCTTGGTGGAGAAGCCGTGGATCGCATTGCTGTAAATATACATCATTTCGGCCGAGTCGGAAACTGTTTTGAGCGACGAGTCGTACCAGTGAGTGTGGTGCTCGAAGCTCGCCGGCATTTCGGATTTGGCCATGTGAACGATGTAAGTGGTGCTTGCAGTCGTTTTTGGCTTCGCGACGTTGTTTTTGTCCACCGCCGCTGCCGTGGATAAATGGCAGAGACCCAGAAGGAAAAGAAGCATAACAGAGGTAGACATAATACCCATTTTGCTAAGCCAACGAGCCTCTCAAATCTCACTATATATTCACTCCCCTGTTGTTTTGAAGGGAGGGGAAGAGCTTTTTATTTAATACACGTAAAAGAGAGAGAGAGAGAGAGAGAGAGAGAGTGTTACTGTGTAGATATTAGCAGGCACAGTGAAATCATGGAAAAGAGCAGAGAAAGGGTAGAGAGAGAGAGAAAGGGAGGGGCGGTGGGTGGTTGTCCGGTTCTTTGAATGATTGCGTTGGGACAAAAATGTGAGTGAGTGGAAGCAGCTTATTAAGCTTTCGTCACGTGCATTTCAGGCTTTTCTTTCTTTTAATTTTTACCCATGCCTTGTACACTAGTAGCTGGTGGTGTAGATTAGATTCTCTCACTAACCTTGGGCTCAGTTTCTCTTTGCAGATAAAGGCCGTCAAGTCTGAACACTTTTTCCCACCTAAATATCTCGTGTTACGGACACTCGCTCACACGCTCTTGTGAAGATATTTGTGGTTAATAGGTTTTGAGACTCGTTTACATCAACAGTTCACAACGTTCTTCCACGTGTGCGTGAACGATTGTCAATAGTATTTTTCAATCATATAATATAATAAAATCCCAACCAATGTTGTGAGATCCAGTTATGCACTACTATTTACCCAATTTCCAAACTACAATTCAAACTTATCAATTTCATCACAGATTGTTGAGCAGCACAGCATATAATGTCAAAAAAATGTTGAATTTTTAGGTTTTTTGGGTTCACGGGTGTGTCTCTCTATTCTACTTTATCTACTCTGTACTCTCTAGTGATAGTTATGGCTCGTTTGAGAGTGATTCTGAAAAAGCCAATAATCACTTTTACAACGTCACTTCTCCAAATAATCACTTTGAATGATTTTATGGTGTAATACATGGGAGACGCTTCTTTTCCCCAAAATCACTTAAAATCACTAGTAATTTTCTAAAAAACCACGTGGAATGTGTTTCTTTCTGAACCAAAATCACTTCCAAATAAACCCTTAATAATAATTTATATTGTACGTATTTCCATCAAAGTTTGTCTTTCGGTGGTTGAGTCTTTGGCGAGTACCGCCAACCAACGCATTACGTTTCCCACCACACACATAATAAACAACCACGACAAGAAATCTCACTCACGGGTTTGTATATAGAGATAGGGATATAGCCCCCATTAATCTACATAAGAACAAGCTCATTGTCCTTATTAATACACACATAATTCTACTAAAAACTTTATACATATTTTAGCTCTGAATTTATGCCACTGGGGACCTAAAGGTCACGTGCACCCCATAGTGGAAATGGACAGCGAGATTGGATATAAAAATAAAGGAACAAACTGGTGAGATGAGGAAAGTAATTAAGTAAGGCAAAAATAAATGACAAGCGTCAGAAGTGATTACTCTCATCTCTATCTTTTTTTTTTTTTGGGTAAAAGGATGAGGGGCAACGCCCCTGACAAAGAGAACTACAAGCAAACTAAGCGGGGTTGGGCAACCCCTACAATATCACCCACTAGGAAAGTTTCTGCCCAAGGAGGCACAGTATCAAATAAGCATAAACCCAGGTCAATATTATAACTCCAGTTGGCCAGGCAGTCCGCTAAGCGATTCTTCTCCCTATAAATATGATTGACATCACAGATATTCAACATATTCATGAGGTTTCTACAGCTAGTAATTAAGCCAGCAAGAGGATGCAGCTCATCAACAACAATCTTATTTATTAAGTGGACGGCGATGGCAGAGTCCATCTCAACAATCAAAGGGGAGAGCCTTTTATCAACAGCCAGCTTCAAACCAAAGAACAATCCCCACATTTCTGCTTCCAAAATCTGACCCTTGCCCAAGTTCACAGCGAAGCCACCCTTCCAATCTCCCATAGAGTCGCGGATGACCCCTCCCGCACCCGCAGCTCCAGACATAGTTTTCCTAGAGCCATCAATGTTCAGTTTAAAGAGGCCAATAGCAGGCAGCTCCCAAGCAAGCGAAATCAACACTTTGGGTTTTTTTCCACCTGGGACAGTGGAAGAAACAACCCAATCATTAATTGCATGGACAATTATTCTTTGCGGATAAGGATGCAACTCCTTCTTTTCAGTAAAGATATAATGGTTCCTCCATTTCCAAATAAACCAGCAAGTGAACAAGAAGACAGAAGACCAAGGCAAACCAGCCCCCCAAGTAGCCTTAGAGCACAAATTCCCCATGAACCAGATTTGCATATTAGTAGTAGAAAGGTTAGAGAGTTGCCTAGGGGTGCAGACAGCATCCCAGACCTTTTTGGCATTAGTACACTCTCTGAAGAGATGGAGGATAGATTCAGAGTGCCATCCACAGAGGCTGCAAGAAGGGTTTGTGGTTAAATTTCTTTTAGTTCTCTGTTCGTTGGTCAAGACTTTGTCTTGGTAAGCCAACCAGGAGAAGACTTTCATTTTAGGAGGCACTTTAACTTTCCAAATCACATCCCAGAAAGGATCAGAGCGACCATCATCTCTGAACAATAAGTCATAAGCAGATTTGACTGTGAACACACCATTAGAGGTGGAGTCCCATATTTGAACATCCCTCAAGTTAGTACCAAAGCCAATAGGGTAACTAACAATCATCTGGACCAAATCCTCACTAAGCATGGTTCTCAACTTATCAATATCCCACCAGCCATCTTTCATGAGCTCAGAAACTGTACACTCCAGTTGGGCAGGCCTGACGAACCCATCATGCTGGATGAGAGGGATGTTAGAAATCCACCTATCATTCCAGAATTGAACACTGTCCCCTTTTCCGATCCTCCAAGTCATACCTTGCCTGAGTAAATTAGCACCATGTAAAACACCTCTCCACGTGGAGGAGCAGACCTTTTTCCCTTGTAGAGAGTTCTCTAAGATAGAATGGCCCTTTAGATATTTCTCTTCAAAAAAATTTGCCCAAAGGCCCGGGTCCCTACAATGGAGTCTCCACCCCATTTTAGCCAGTAGAGCTTGGTTCATAACTGAAGTTTTTTTGAAGCCCAGGCCCCCTTTGTTCTTGGGGCGGCAAGCTAAGTTCCATTGGCATAAGTGAGACTTTTGTTTTGTCCCACTTCCCCCCCAGAAAAAGTTACGATTTAGGCGGTCCAAGCTCTCACAAGTGCTTGCAGGGAGTTTGGTCGTTTGCATAGCATAGACAGGGATTGAAGCAGTAACTGCCTTAATCAAAGTAGCCCTCCCAGCTAGAGATAATAACTTGCTTTTCCATCCTGCTAGCCGTTTATTGACTCTATCGATCAGGCTATGATAAGTAGTTCTATTTATTCTAGAGTGCAGCAGAGGCATGCCCAAGTATCTGCCTAAATTTGAAGTGAGAGGAGATCCACAAATATAGCTGATTTCTCTAGCCACAGCATTGCAAGTGTTAGGAGAGCAATAGATCATGGATTTCTCAAAATTAACTGTCTGACCTGAGGCTTTACAGAAAATATCTAGGCAGTGTTTCATAACCCGAGCTTGCTTAGGGGTAGCTTCTGCAAAGAGGATTAGATCATCTGCAAAAAACAGGTGGGAAATAGCAGGGCCAGACTGCGAAGGTTTCACAGGTTTCCATCTTTTACTATTCACAGCATCCATCACAAGATGAGCTAATTTTTCAATACAAAGCACAAACAAATAGGGTGATAGCGGATCACCTTGCCTAATCCCGCACTTGGGGGTAAAGGCCTCAGTAAGCTCCCCATTTATGCAAATTCTATATTTAACAGTGGACACACAAGCCATAATCAATTTGATAAATTGCTGGGGTAGACTCAATTCATTCAGGACATACTCAATGAAGCTCCAATTCAATCTGTCATAAGCCTTTGACAAATCAATTTTCCAAGCACAGAAACCTTTTTTCCTTTAGAAACATGAAATTTGTGCATAATTTCCTGCGCAATAACAATGTTATCAGAAATTTGCCTACCTGGCACAAAGCTGACTTGGTGAGGGCTTATCAGATCCACCATAAGCGAACGCAGCCGAGCCACAATTATTTTGGAGATGACTTTATAGAGAGTACAGCACAAGCTAATAGGCCTGAAATGGGACATATTTTGCGGGCTGTCCAATTTGGGGGCCAAGGTAATGAGGGTCTCATTCAGATTTGTAGGCACAACCCCTTCGTGGAAGACATTGCAAACCAAGTCACCAATGTCATTGGCACAAAAGGACCAATTATTTTGGTAAAACCCAGCAGGGAAACCATCCACTCCTGGAGCTTTGAGATTGCCAATATTAAAAAGGCTATCTTTAATCTCATGTAAATCAACTGGCTTCACCAAATTAGAAAGATCAGCATGAGTCAAACCTGGGAACAAATTAGGGATGGCCATGTGGGTAGGGACTAAGTGGCTTTGAGAGAATAATTTGGTAAAATAGCTGACAGCAAGGACTTTCAAGCCATTAGCCTCCTCCACCCAACTACCATCATCAGCTTTCAGTCTCTCTATCTTATTTCTCCTTCTCCTTATAATAGTTGTCATATGGAAAAACTTTGTATTTCTATCCCCCTCTTGTAACCATTGTAGCCGCGATTTTTGTTGCCAAAATAAAGCCTCCTGGTCAAGTAACTTATTAAAATCCTGCACCAAAGAATCCTCCAGCTTATACAGAGACGTGCTTTGGTATCGGCATAAAGCTTTTTGGATACCATCCAATCTAGCCAGTATCAGCGTTTTCTTTCGCTTCAAATGGCCAAAAATATTGTGATTCCACTGTTTCAGATGTGGGATTAGCCCATAGGACTTGTCAAGAGCAGATCCCGGAATCTGTCCCCATTTCTGCGTCACAAAGTCTTTGAAATTACCGTGCTGCATCCACATCGCTTCAAATCTAAAGGGTCTCGCAAAAGGTGAGGAGATCTGGCGGGACTGTAAGCAAATTTTGATGGGGCAATGATCGGATTTGGTTCTCGGAATATGCAACACATTTGCATCAGGAAACATTTGCCTCCATTTTAGGTTGCAAACAGCTCTGTCAAGTCTTTCAAAAACTCTATTATTGGTCCAAGTAAATTTAGGACCAGAGTAGCCCAAATCAATCATATCATTCTCGGTAAACCACTTGTTGAAGCCTTTCAGCCTGCACAGGTTGGCACCCCCCAGTTTATCTTCCATATATAACATCTCATTGAAGTCACCTGCAAGAATCCAAGGTAATTGATGGCAACTAGCCACAAAGTTCAGGTAATCCCATAGCGTAGCCCTTTTGCTTGCACAGGGTTTAGCATAGATAGTAGTCAGAATCCAAGGAGC